TTTTTATCCAAAACCTTAATGTTATATCAATATTTATAAAAATATAGGAACCGAAATTGTACTGTGTTATCATTTATTATAAATTGAAAGATAGTCGAAATTCAATAATTTGAAAATGTCTGCACTATTGTGTCTTTCTATATCCAGGGGCCTTGTCTTCTTCAAAGGCAGAATGTAATTTTTCTACCAGGAATTTTGAACATTTGGATCTCTGAAATTATTAGATTTATAATTTTAGTATAGTAGAAAAATACAAATATTTTACAAAATTTACCTATCTTAACTTATTTATCGTTTTCTGTTCGACTTATCTCTGCTGGACACAAGACATGATCAAGACTGCATCGAAAAATTGGTTCTAGGATAAAAATGATATTTGTAATGCTAAAATAATCAAAATATTTACCTTAGAATATCTATTTACTAGTCTCTTCGTTCATCTCAGCAGCATATGTTCCAGGTTTCGTCAATACCATATAATTTCTTGGGTATTGGATAAAAGCGATAGTATCCAACGCCGAGAAACCAATTGGTCGTTTCGTGCCTATAATTTCTTCGCCATCTATAGATATTATATTAAGTATTTTTAATGGTTTACATCATTTATTTCATGAAATAGAGGTTTAAGCTTATAAAGTGGAAACGGGCCTTCTGTAACAATAACAAAGTTCTATTTCACGAAGCCTAATGCTTATACAATTTGTATATATAATTTTTTTCGTAAAATAATGCTGCATTGATATTTATTCAATTCAATTTCAAAAATTCTTTATTTTGTTTCACAAAAATTTATAGTGCTACATATCCAGTGTACATTATTTATAAATATTATTTTATAAACTTACCCCAACAATCAACATACATATAGATTGTCCTATGTTAGAATATTTTCACATAAAACAAGTTTTAACTTCGCTAAAAATGGCTACCTCACTGGTAAATCACGATTTCAGCGAGGGAAGAGCAACTTTTAATTTGACGTAAAGAATCTACATTTAAATGAGATGAGATGTCAAATGGTATGTATCAGAATACCAAATATCAACAATTTTGGAGCGTAAGTGTAGCAGTGCCAAATTTTAGTTCCAAATGTGAACAATCTCATTTGAGCGGCGCTTTTGTCGCGGTTATTGTTTATCAGAATACCAAATTGTAACATGACACCTTCACGAACGATTTGACAGCAAAAATCAGCGCTGAGAGTGTGTGAAGCGAGTTACAGAATCGCAGGGCAGATCTGTAAAAAAAGGGGAGGGCTGCAAAGTTGTAAAAAAAAACGTCATCTCGACATCCTCGAGCATGGCTGATTTTATTTTTATTTTGAAGGAAATAATTCAAGGATGACGAAAAATATATAATCTGAAAATTTCCACAAGCCGTAGTTAGAAAAATTCGTCGATTAAGTTTAATACGTGCGGCTGCGTGATGCCGATATTAGTTTAAAAATATTAAGTATAAGTAATATTAACATAAAGTGTGTATTCTGTGGTGAAACTACCACGCAAAACTCAATAAAATGTACATTATAAACGTTAGATTTTTCAATAGCCGCGTCCACACCGAACGATCCAAAATGGATCGGCGATCCCGCGATCCGCGATCCAAGATCGCGATGCGGGGAGCGTGGACCGTACTAGGCCGATACAACAGCAATCTCTTGCGATCCTGACTGGCTGATCCAACACGCTCCAGCGGATCCATACTGAATCAGTTGAACTTTGTCTGGAGAATTTGACTTTTGTTCATCACAAATAGTAGGCAAACTAGTGATATTACACAAACTACTATTTGTGTAATATCATTAGGATCCCATAAACATTTATTCTTCCTATAAAAGGATATTAAAAGAATACATAGTGAATTCTCCATAACGTTGGATCACGCGATTCAAATCTCATCCGTCCACACCGCGCGCGGCAAGTGACTGAGGCCCCTTTGAGCATGAACAAAAAACCAACAACAAATGGATCGCGCGCGACACGTCCACACCGCCTGCACATTTGGATCGCGCTCATGCCGCGCGCGATCGTATCGCGATGGATCGTTCGGTGTGGACGCGGCTAATACGATTCATAAATTTTTTTGAAGAATAAATTAATTGGTATTGACGAAACCTTGAATATTTGCTGTTATATTCATTAACGTAGTGTGATAAATAGATGAACTAATGTAAGCATTTTGATTATTTATGGCAATAAATTTATAATTTTTATCACAGAACCAATTTTTCGATGCATTTTTGATGATTTTCCAGCAGAGACAAGAAGAGAAAAAAAAAGAAAAGGTTTCGACATGGACAATATTGAGGGAACTAATAAGACCCTTAATATTATCAAGAATGTTGTTGTTTAAGTGTCATAGTTTTTGTAAAATATTAGTATTTTTATAAGTAGGTCTATTAAAATTAGTGCTCTGAAATTATTACATATATAATTTCAGAGCACCAAATGTTTAAAATTCCAGGTAGGTGGACCTGAAAAAGAATATTTTAGTCACAATAGTGCAGTCATTTTCAAATTATTTCATTTCAACTATCCTTCAATTTATAATGAATGATATGATAGCCACATTTAGGTACATATATTTTTCTAAATATTGATAAATATAAACATCATCATATGAAATATCATCACTACGTACAAAATATCAAGTAAGTACGAAAAAAATCTACCATCTGCGAGCTATTCTGGCGTGCGCTGCCAAAACCGCTAGAGTTACACATGTGTACGTAATGTATGATGGAAATGTTTATCTTAAAAAGTCAATGTCTTTAGTCGTTTTTTTCACGCCACGCTAATATAAGCTACTCGAATACTAATCCTTCACAGACGAAGTCGCGGGCACCAGCTAGTTTACTATATTGTTCTATTATTAACCTTATATATTAGGCTTATATATTTTTAATTTATGCTTAGCCGTTTTTTACGCGGTTACTCCATAAATTGATAGTATGACGGGCAGGTAAGTTAAATTAAATATATATATAATGTATAAAGCATCCTTGAAAATCGTTACTCGTTAAACCAGGAAGTCGTTAAATAAATAAGAAATTATATAATCATTATATTAATTTAACAAAATTATTAACTACATTATTCATATGAAAATCATACATTTTCAACTGCATTCAAAATAGATTCGTGAGCTTGGCTTTATTTCTCATCTAACAATGATTCTGTTTCGCTAGTATAATTGACTGGGTGGTAAGCAGAATGGCCATTCTATTTCTCGTTTTTGACGACTACCCATGATGGCTGTAATACAATGGTAATCCGTTTTAATTGTAAATAGTGAGATATATTAGGTCGCAGTTGTATTTGTATAATAATATTGCGTAGCAATTTCATTATTGTACAGTTAAGGAAAATCATAAAAAAACTTGCATAAAACACGACAAACTTAAACCATGTAAATTATGATATATTTTACTAAATCGATTAAACTTAAGTGGAGTGTGGTATCTTAGCGTAAGTTTAAAAATAAAACTATATGGCATACTTTGTATTTCTAAGTAAAATATCTTGAAAAAACATGTTCGATAATAAATAAGCCAGATATTATTTTGGTAACTTGGCTTAGTTATTTCGCACGCAGTATTCGAATCAGCCCTGCGATTCTGTAACTCACTTTTCGAACTCACACAGCGGTTTTCGCATCGGCGGTCACTCTCAAATCAGTCGTGAAGCAGTCAATTTATGAATTGGCATTCTGAAAGAGTGGGAGCTTGTAGTTTATTGTTTATCAGAATTCGACCGCCGATGCGAAAACCGCTGTGTGAGTTCGAAAAGTGAGTTACAGAATCGCAAGGCAGTATCATAATTAAAGTACTGTAATCCAAATCCAAGTACTGTAAAAACAATATTTCTTTAATGAAACAACTCTGTGGCTAAGATCCATAAAGGGTATGGTTAGTGCTAAACTGCAGATATTGGTTGCTTCTGCATGTATAAAACAAGTTATGGCAATTTCATTTTCAACATTTAAAATCTACGTTTGTAAGCAGATCTTTGATTCGAAAACCTAGCATGATTATTAACGTTTTTGTTTGATTGTTGTTTTTATTCTGAAATTTAAATTATTATGGACTTTGAAGTTAAGAAACCTGAAAAAATCTTCTATATTTGACATTAATCTTTGACTTTAAATTTGCCTCAAACAAACAAACATTGTTAAGTAATGATAGTTATGATATTTCTTAAATGATTTTAATAGAATTTATTGTTTTCTATCAATGTAAGATAAAACATAGGTTATAATTGTTGTGTGTTCTCTCTGAATCACTTAAAGATATTAGTTGTATACCGTCCAGTTATTCAACAGTACCATTGAGTCCCTATTATTTTGTAATTATACCCAACTAAAATATTTTATGAAAACCATTAGTTACATTTTGAAAATTTAAGATATGCATTTATCCTGTTTATTTTCATAGACTATTTGCTGAGAGAATCTATTTTAGCTGACACTGATAATCACTTGGATAAGCTTTGATGTACGTAAAATTGTAACAATATATCCAGATGATAATGTTAGGTATCCCTTGTTTTGCACTGAAACATAATTAATATTTTAATGTTGTCTGCCCCCGATAAACATTTCACAAACACTATGGCATATCAGTTTTCGGGTTACGGTAAATATAAACTCTTTAATATACAAAACGAAACAAAACACGTAAGCTATATGTAATGTAAATAAAGGAACTTATTATTTACCTGTAAGTGGCCCATTTGCCAGATCCAGATCGGTTGTTCGGTGAACAATATGTCACAAAAAAATCATCTTCACAATATTCATAGTAAATAATATATACATAATAATAATATTAGCAAAGCATTTTTTTTCTTTAGGGATATTTATAAAGTACAATAAACAAGTGTTTTTATCTATTTTGAAATAAAACTAGGTACCCCCTTAATATGTTTGATGTAGCCATTTCCCTTCAATAATAATCAATCTAGTATAAAAATAAATATTCCGAAAATACTGGCTATTGTGTAATGGCGCCTGAACTTCTATGTTGGCTTTTTGGGGAGGTGGATGGGGTGGGTTGGTTATCTTTTGTTTTCCAATTGTTTAAAAAACTTGACTCCCTCAAAGGCCGGCAACGCACCCACTAAAACGATGACTGCCCTTTTTGGGCGTCCTGTAGTGTCATGTTCCACATTCTATAAAAATACGGAATTTGGAAGATTCTGAATGCCTATTAGACCACAAGCCCATGAACAAAAAATACCTGTGAAATGACCCAACGTGAATTACGCTTAGAAGGCTGTTACTATATCTGAAAATAGCTCTGAGCACTATGCCGTCATTTCTGAGCGGTACATGTGAGTACGTGAGTGAATGGACTTTCTCAGGTACAATTGGGGAATTTCGACTAACTATTAATGTACGGCTTTGTTATAAGTGTATAGATGATTAAAAATAAATGTCGAAAAACCTAGTGCCGTACTAAAGTGATGGTGCCGGAAGTCGGTGCAAATTTTTAATTCGACGACAGTTGCAGAAGCAATATAGGTAATTTATTACTGTACGGCATTTGTGTGATTCCTTTTGGACACATACGTATATACAGATACTTTACCCGTAAACGCCGTACATATTTCCAGCGGAGCGGTCGAAAGCCAAGGGTCGCAACATATGTCTGATTAGCATATAGGTGATGATGATATAGAACAACATAAAATTAAATGATCTTGAGAGTACTTCACAAATAGGTAACATTTTCCAGCATGCCGTACATTTTTTGTGGAACACATAGGTGTATGAAGTAAATTACTTTCCTCAGAAAAGAGTCATTTTCCGGTGATTTTTATCTGTACGGCAATAACACAGGTTATTAATACTTTAGACAATCTTTAATAAAAGATAAATGCCGTACACTTTCGATAGTCCGCTAGTCTGTGAAATGGCAGATTATACCACCGCCTACCAATACAGGGCGTCCCAAAGTTATGGGAAATGAAGGGAAAGTACCTTAAATATCGTAGATAGGGTATTTTACTAAAAGAAGACTTTATGTTATTTTTTAAAGTTAGTAATTCTGCATCCAAAGATTTAAAAAAAATTACTTGCCTCGTCTGGAAATCGAACCGACTTAAATGTAAAAAAAACACCCCTACTTTTATGATGCCAATCGAAAGAATGACCGAAAACTAATAACTCTTTTTAAGTAACATAGTATTTTAAAAGAAAGGAACAGCGTGAATATATCTTTTTAATCAAATTAAAAACATTATCTATCGTATTTGGCCTAAAAAAATCCCCTACGAGTCTGTTACTTTAGAAAAGTTATTAGGTTTTAGCCATTCTTTCGATTGGCATCATAAAAGTAGGGGTGTTTTTTTTTAAATTTAAGCCGGTTCGATTTCCAGACGAGGCAAGTAATTTTTAAAAAATCTTTGAATGCAGAATTACTAACTTTTAAAAATAACATAAAGTCTTCTTTTAGTAAAATGCCCTATCTACGATATTTAAGGTACTTTCCCTTCATGTCCCATAACTTTGGGACGCCCTGTATTATATTTTTATTTTTGTTAAAAATATTTTTCCTTTACCTCTCTCTGCTGGTACGATAAGGCTGTAAATATACTTTACAGCCTTATGGTAGTATACTCAGATACGTACAGTTATTAATGACCTTAAGGGACACCTCAAACGTCGTCGAAGTTTTTATCAGCTGTAAAGAATAATCTGAAGTAAAATGTACGGCATCTGGTTTTTTTTGTTTATTTATATTTGTTACATATAAAATAACAATAATCTTTGAAAATATTACTCCCCATATTACTCTAGGAGCATTTGAAAAGTCATCTAAATTTCGGAAATTTCATATATTTTTTATCATAATATTTTTATTTGTTACCATTTATAATGAACGGCTATAAGGTACAACGGTAATATTTAGTAACATTATGTAAAAAAACAAGTTGCCGTACATTATTCCCTGATCTTACAGCAGTAAAAACTCGGTAAATCCTGAAATTTCGATAAATATTTATTTACACAAATATTAACTATAAGTTTTGGACGGCATAATTATAAAACATTATTGTCCGTGTTAAATAATATTTTGAACATGTTGCCGTACATTTTACAATGACCTTAGGGTATATGGGTGTAGGGGTAGGGTTCCGACCCTTGGCTTTCGACCGCTCCGCTGGAAATATGTACGGCGTTTACGGGTAAAGTATCTGTATATATGTCCAAAAGGAATCACACAAATGCCGTACAGTAATAAATGACCTATATTGCTTCTGCAACTGTCGTCGAATTAAAAATTTGCACCGACTTCCGGCACCATCACTTTAGTACGGCACTAGGTTTTTCGCCATTTATTTTTAATCATCTATACACTTATAACAAAGCCGTACATTAATAATTAGTCGAAATTCCCCAATTGTACCTGAGAAAGTCCATTCACTCACGTACTCACATGTACCGCTGAGAAATGACGGCATAGTGCTCAGAGCTATTTTCAGATATAGTAACAGCCTTCTAAGCGTAATTCACGTTGGGTCATTTCACAGGTATTTTTTGTTCATGGGCTTGTGGTCTATATATGAATGGATGTCGGATAGAGATAGGCAAGTAAGTAATCAGCCGCATTTGCCTGACTCACGTCGTCGTTTTAGGTCTCAGGCAAGCCTCACGATGTTTTCCTTCACCGTTCGAGTGTATGTTAAATGCACACATAGAAAGGAAGTCTGTCAATGAAAAGAAAATAAATTCATGATTATAATTGTATAATTGATCCTATCATTAGCTTACTACATTTAAGGTCAAACGCGTGTTCTTTTTGCTTCATTTTTAGAATGTTCACGTTTGAGATGGTTCTATAATATTCTTATTTGTGATTTTAATAATGCAGTGGTTGGTTTTGATCATATTTAAATTATTAAAATTATATATTTTTACTGACGTTTATAAGTGTTCATATTTTAATTTGATTCTTAATTGTAATTTGCGTTTATACCTGTGAAACAAGTTTTATAGACATTTACATTGCCAAAAGGCTCGCAAGTGCATTGCCGGCCTTTTAAACCATTATCTGTACCAGTGTAGTTTATATAATTCTATTTAATGAAAGCCTGTAAGAAATCACTTATTAGGGATAAAATTATTTTTTCCATCCCTTAGTTTTTTGACACTATTTTTATACATTGTTTTGGGATTGTTCTAGTATTCAAAGTGGCCCGGGAACTACGGGTATTGCCCCGCAAGTATTCAACGCCGCGATTAATTTCTTCGCCGCTACACAATGTCTTTCACATGACAACTTTGTATCTGATGAAATTAAAGGTAAGAACACACAAACTTAGTTCCAAATAATTACTTGACCACCGAGTCAAACGTATTTTGTACATGTACCTGAACGTTCTTAGAATCCTTAAATTCTTACTGAAAACATAAAAGAACTGTTCTTATGTAAAAATAATTATAATTTATTATAACAGGTTACATAACATTCACAAAATATGTTATTGATGTGTAGGATATTTTTTTTGATAATACTGATTAAACCGATCATAAATATTACGGATTCTAAATGGTAAATTGGGTATTTTATGAAATATAAATTTGCGGCTTAGACGTCCTAAAGACATCATAATATAAATAATAGATTTCATTTTTCAGATGGTGACACGTTTGACTTTATTATTGTTGGAGGTGGTTCTGGAGGTAGCGTAGTGACCAATCGCTTGTCTGAGGAAAAACAATGGAACATTCTACTTCTTGAAGCTGGACCAGACCCACCGTTGGAATCATATGTAAAGTTATTTATTTAATTTTATGATTAATTGGTATCTTAATAGGAATCATTGAATCATATTTCTTTTTTAGGTACCAAACTTTGATACTGACCTATATGGAAGTGATTTTGATTGGAATTATCTAACCAAAACTGATAATAGAACAGGACTAGGAAGTAAGGATGGAAGAATTTCCTGGCCACGAGGAAAAATGCTTGGTGGGTGTAGCTCTAACAATGAAATGGTCTACATACGCGGACGAGCCTCTGATTACCAACGTTGGGTAGATGCCGGTAACCCAAGTTGGACACCACAAAATGTATTCCATTATTTCAATAAAGCAGAAAATTTACAGTCCAAACAATTACTCAAGAACCCATATATAAGTGGTTTATATGGTCATCATGGCCCTCTGATAGTTAATAACTACAATAGCACATACAGGAAAGATACAGAACGAGTTCTGGATTCTTGGAAACATATCGGATTTGATATAGTTGAGGATATAAATTCGGAATACACTCTTGGATTAGGTTCATGCGGTATCTATCCTGTCACAGTATCGAGTGGAAGAAGACAAAGCACATATGAAGCATATATTAAACCTGCAAGGAGAAGAGAAAATTTGAAAATTGTGACTAGAGCATATGTTACTAAAGTTATAGTAGATGACAATTTAGAAGCTAAAGGGGTTGAGGTTGATATTAAAGGCAAAAAAATTACAGTATTTGCGAGTAAAGAAGTGATTCTAAGTTCTGGTGCTATAAACACACCAAAATTACTCATGTTGTCGGGTATAGGGCCAAAATTGCATTTGGAATCCGTGGGAATACCATGCAAGGTGAACTTACCCGTTGGTGAACATTTACAAGATCATTACTTGATTCCAACATTTATCAACGGCGATGAACCTGAATCTCGAAGTACAGTAGATATACATTTTGATGAACTAAAGTATCTTTTTGATGGGTCTGGATATTTAGGACAAGCCAGTATCACTGATATAACCGCTTTCTTTTCTAGATACCCCAATGCTTCGTATCCTGAATTTCAAAGCCATTTCTTATTGATACCTAAAAACGCAACCTCTGGATTGAAACGATTTGGTTCACTTAAAACGTCGATCTTAGCGTCTTTTTTTGAAATTAGCGCACGTAAAGCACTGTATGCGTTCTCCTTGCATTTATTACATCCATTTTCGAAGGGATCTGTTTATTTGAATACAAGTGATCCTTATGAAGATCCAATTATTGAGGCCAACTATTTGGATGATCCACGAGATATTAAAGCCACTATTGACGGCCTAAAAATACTTACTAGTATAGTAGACACACCATATTTCAGATCGATAAACGCATTTATTTTCAAAGTAAATCTACCTGAATGTGATCAGTATGAATTTAAAAGCAATGACTACTGGTTGTGTTTTGCAAAATATTTAATGATGACCTTATATCACCCGGTTGGAACAGCGAAAATGGGTCCAAGTGCAGAAGATTCTGTCGTAGACAACTTTTTGAGGGTGCATGGTGTACGTGGTTTAAGAGTAATAGATGCCAGCGTCATGCCTAATCTTACGAGTGGCAACACTAATGGTCCGACCATCATGATCGGTGAAATGGGCGCCGATATGATAAAATCGGCCTATATTAAAAATAAATAAAACTTGTCGTGAAATACTGATTAAAAATGTTGTCATTACAGTTTACTAAAATTAAATCTTTTCAAATGACAAAAAAAGGTTTCTATTAAAAAATAAGCAATTTACCTTTACATATGTAATACACTTATATAAATGATAACTACCTACTTTACTAAGCAAGTGACTCGACGTCAGCACTTATATAAGTCTTCACTTAAAAAAAATTATTTCACACACATTATAAAAAAGAACATTTAAAACGTAGCATTCACTCGAATAATACATTGTATTGCTACGCTGTATGTATTTGGTTAAAATACTTCTTAATTAAAGAAACTAACAGTTCCAGTTAGCTGATTAAATCCTAATCTTTTAGCAAAACCTCAATAAAGCCAATCCTGTGTTTTATTGCAACCCAAAATGTGCATTGGCCTCCGTAAAGAGAAACCTAGACCGCTCCCTGTCCTGTGCCAATTCCCGCCAGATCGAGCTAGCCTTTAGCTGCAGGAGGTTTTTTTATTTTTGAATATAGTCTTATCAAATATATTTTTAGACTGTTTAATTTCCTATTACTTTAGACAGTTGTTTACTTTTTATCTTAAGCATTTCCCGCATCTGACGACGAGTAAAACCAATAAAAAGTTATGGTTCACATTGCATTTAGGCCTGATAACCTACTTTCGAACTCCCGTCTAACAGGGCATGGACTTATTTCTGTATCTACGTTATTTACAGAGAAGAAGGATAGCCCGAAACAGTATCAATTATTTCGTTTGGAATCAAACCCCAGTACTCCGTATTACGCTTCTTAGTACTCGCCAGTTTAGTTACTATAAACATTATCTATCAATTAGTTTGTAGAAAGTAATCCTACTCTTGTTTGCTTGCAATAAACAATTTCAATATAATTTTTCTTAAAAAGTACTTCTCAGGAGATGTCTTGTATTCAGCGTGTCAGAGATAATGATCAAAATTGTTTGTATATATCTTATGTGTATAATCATTCATATAATCTTTAGAACAACAATAATGCGTACCATATTCTGACAAATCACAATCATTAATTACGTTATGAACTGCTTAGGGATTGAGTTATCTAAATAGGGCCAGGGATACTGCGGTCAAATGGACAACTTGTGAATAAACAAGACTATAAAAAAGGTTAAAGATCTTAGGTTTCTTTATTAGTAGATATGATATACCCTTATCTGGTACACTAATTAGCGATTCCAATAAAAATTCTAATTAGCAGAAACCAGTTGCCCACTGAAGTATTTACGAAGCAATTTGACTTAGGCTCCTTCCAGCAATTTGAATACCAATTCTTGAAAGGCCGACAACGAACTTGCGAGCCTTCTGGCTATGTGAGTGTTGTTGGGCGGCGGTACCACTTAACGTCAGGTGAGCCTCCTGCCCGTTTACCCCCTGTTATATATATAAAAATTCAATATAGCTTATGTACTATACAATAATTGGATGATGAAGATATGTGTCAAGTTACCTAATGCTAAACATAGATTGCACGATTTGTGGGTATAGGATTACTTATAATATTTATTAAATTATAATTATTAGTCGTAGGCTATGTTAATTAATATAGAATTATAAATTATATTTTTTATTTCTTCCTCTTATTGCACAAGGACCCTTTATTGACGAAAGACTCCAAGTTTGCCTATTTTACTTGTTCATGAGTTATTTGGCTCTAGTTTCAGTTTTTAAAATTAAAATATCATTTATTTACATAGATAACTTAAGGTGAACATGAACGTCTGTTAAAAGACAATAATGCTTACTGCCAGTTCTCAAATCAAGGGCGTAGAACGTACGAGAAGAACTGGCAATAAACTCTCCGTCACTCCTTTAAATGTACATATAATACGTGGGTAACGCTGAAAATGTTGAGAACTGCCCAGTTAGAAACATTCCTAATGAAAACTTTTTTGAATTTAATATTTTAGAACTCTTTGGTAACCTAATGTAGTACGTATATATTGCATTCATTTGTCATTTGTTTTTGTGAATTGGCGGCAAATCTAAAACTCTTGTTACACGTGAAAATGAATCGAACGCTAGAAAATTATCGGTCAATGATTTATAATGACTTTCGTTGTGGGCTCACTCAACAACAAAGCTATTATAGGCTGCGATTAGCATTTCTTAATGAAGCCCCATCTCGTGCCACCATTAACAATTGGTTTAACTAGTTTAAGCGTGGACGTAGAAATGATGATCCGCGTGACGGACGTCCTTTAACAGCGACTACTGAAGATAACATCAGTGCTGTGCGACGCATGATAGAGGAAGATAAGAGAGTGATATATCAGCAAATACGGGTAATCCTAGGCATTGGTATGAGTCAAGTTCAAAAAATATTACTTGAACATTTAGGCGTCAAGAAGCTTTGTACCAGATGGATTCCCCATACTTTAACCGACGACCAGGAACACCTTCGCATGGACTGGTGTCGCCAAATGTTAGATAAGTTCAACGGTGGTGACTTAAATGCTGTATTTGACATTGTCATAGGTGATGAATGCTGGATATATTGCTGCGAGCCCGAAACCAAAAGACAATCAGCTCAGTGGGTGTTTCCTTTCGAGGATCGGCCAAGTAAGGTAGAGAAAGGAAGAAGTCAAGGAAAAAAGATGTTTGCCTCATTCTATGGTCGGAAAGGTCATTTCGCAACAGCTGTGCTAAAAGATGGAAAGACAGTTACTGCAGACGGGTATGTCAATGGCCTGTTGTCTTGGAAAAAAATTCGACAGCAGCGGCCTCGAAGCAGGATCCTCCTTCACCACGACAATGCTTCAGCGCACTCCGCAAAACTTGAATATTTGACTATGGCAGGTGTCGAGATAATGAGTCATCCGCCATACAGTCCTGACCGGGCGCCCTGCGACTTTCATTTATTCCCAAGAACAAAAGATAAAATTCGAGGTATTCGATTTACGAGCCCTGAAGATGCGGTGAAAGCGTACGAAAATGCCATAGAAGAGAACCCTGAGGAAGAATGGGCCCACTGCTTTTCTCAGTGGTTCTATCGAACGCAACGATGCGTAGAGAGGAACCGATGGCTGGCCATGCGTCATACTCGTGAACAGGTGCTCGGTTGTGGTGACTGTTCGTACTTGAATTCGTGTATGCGATGATATTAGTTCTTTCGACTATGTGTTTGCGTGTTGTTCCCACGAGAATGTAAGTGCGTGCTCCTATTTCACCAAGCCTCCGGCTGATAGAGGACAAGCCTTTGTTTTTAATTTATGTTATTATTATTTATTACTTAAGATGTCATCTGGAACATAGTGTAATGGTTGCAGCTCCTTACAAACGTTGCGTAAAAAAAAAAACATGGCGATTAAAAAGAGTGGCGGAGAGGTTATTGCCAGTTCTTCTCTTCCGTTCTACGCACTTTATTTGAGAACTGGCACTAAATGTAAAGTTAGAAGCATTTCATATACATTTCTTTTTTTGACGATCATAAGTGTACATTCTGTTAATTATATGATATGATTAAATGATTTTTGGCTTTTTGAATTTTTTGAAAGGAGATTACTTCGAAAAACAATAAAAGTATTGGTACCTATCTACATTGTGCCGTTTTTGATTTTCTAAACATTTTCAGTGTTACCAAGGTAAATCACCTTACCTATTCAATCTTTACAACCTATTATTTCTATATTCCATAGCTTCGGCACCGATTTAATAACTGAAAAAGAAAAACAGGTTCGTCTCTAAGGTAAATTTTTTTTCTAAAGCAAGGATTAGTAGTTACTCCACAAAGAAAACCAGAGCTTCGGGTTTTTATAACTATTTCTGTGCCATGTTAGACGAAAAATTCAATGCTGAAATGACAAGTAAAAGTCAGTGGGGTCAATTGTCAACATTGTCAAAAAAATCTAGTAAATTACCAAATTTGCAAAAATCTATTTGCTAAAATGATGTAATTTTGGCTCCAACACACAATTGCAATTGCAGAGACGACCCCCGGGAAGGCTGTGATCACCCCGAAAGGTTTCTGTGTTTCGAGAAGTTGTATGGGCTAAATTAACGATTCAAATTCTTCACGTAAAATGGATTGCTTTGCCTAATTTTGGAAAACGTGGGTCAGTTTGGAAAACGTGAACAAATAAATACTTTATGGATTTTGCCTATCAGTGTAATTAAAATTAGTTCAAAGGGCCTTTGAACTTTGTTTATTTTTCAATAGTTTCTGTAACAATCATATTTGTCGAAAATTTAGTGAAAGTATGATGAGGTTTATCATCGTAATACAGTCATTAGAATAACGTGCAGAGTTGCATATTCCAAGAACGCGAACATATGTGCGTATTTTTAAGTTCATTATGTCGTCGATATATAAATAAAAATATGTATAAATTACTGAACTATCTACTACTACTACCATAAACCAAAAATTGTTACTTCCCAAAATTTAATGTATACATCTTTTTGAAACAGTGAATTTACCACTGCAAAAATATTTAAATATTCTAATGCTAAATTTTCCTATGACCAGTTTAGTCTGTCCGACAAAAACGCTCGTTTAGGCGAATACAACTGTGAAATAACAGTGGGCATTTTCATAGTTTCATAACGATGTATCACTTTTTTATATTTAAATTGATGGAAGTCCATTGGTTCGTTGTGTTCTAAATAAATTTATAGAAAACTCTGCTGTAGAAATTACACGGTTTTACCTTTATGATAGATCGTTTGTTCAACCTTTTTGACAATTTTTTTTTGCAATAGTTTTAACTTTATATTTTACAGTTTCGTGAAGTTATTCGTGTATGTCAATACGCGAATGACAGTTTTTGACTACTCGAATAGAACGATTACCGGGGTGGGTTCGTGTCGACAAATTTTCATACAAATATAGTTTTCGAATTTTTACACTATTGTTAAGGCATCTTGACTAAGCCCCCAGGTTACAGCACTGGTAAACGTTATTAAAGGAAAAAAATATTAAGACATTATGTGTCACGTTTTAATATTTGATATCTGACGTTTGTGAATATTGCGTAACGACAACATAGAAAATATATATATAACTTTGAATCTGATCTGATACTTACGCATTTGAAATAACGCGAGACATTTGACGCATAAAAAAGACTTTGAGTGAAATACACAAGCTTTAATATTCTACTGGAAGTTTTATGTTTTACTATAAACGTGATAGTCAACTCGATCAACTTTACACGAAATTCTTGTAATGTATCTATAAGATATTGTGTATAAACTACCGTAATAAGTTTTTTTTATCTCGTGCCCACATAAACAGTGATTATACAGTGCACTTAAGGAGAGAGAGAAACCTTAGTGATAATGGACTAAGCGATAAAATGTATGAACATGGAAAACGTAATAAATCTATTATATCGTAACAAAAAGTAGTTTTTGTATGAGTTAAGGTTTCTTGTGTCTAATTCCCTGATCTTTAAAATAGAAACTGTATTCCACCTCGTCACTCAATTTTCGATGTTCAATTCTCAGCCGAAGCGCGGAATATTACTATTTAGTTCACTAAGCGACCAAATTTCCTCGGCTCTTTCTTTAAACAGTTGTTATTTGTAGGACGGTTGGTCATCATGCCAGTTATTATTATACCACTACTAACATTTCGTGTTGTGAGACTCTAAATAATATTTTTGTTTATTCAAAACCAAAGTAATTTGTATTTGATGGCGTTAGTTCATGAACGCCATCTTTATTTTCAAATAGAACTTAAGACAATTATATCAAAATTTAAATCATACTTTAAGCTTTTATACCACTAAAATAGATGAAATGAATAGTTCTATGATTAAAATTTCCTAATTCAGATTGTTAAGATGTCCTTTAGGCCATTACGGCGCACGTCAATTTGTTAGGAAAGCAATGGTTTTATTGGTACGTCTTATGTTTTCATATTATCCACGTGGATACCATGACTCATTGAGCTTAGAATATTATTCACATTGTATTCTTTTATTTATTATTATTTTTTCTTTCGATTTTACTTTATTTTATTTTAGTTATAGTTACGTGTTACTTTGAGTTTTTTTTGGTATTTCTTTATGCACTTCTTGTACTTAACCCCAAGTAGGTGTTTCTTTTTTACTGCCCCATATTACGGTTGCCTGGAAGAAATCGCTTGTTAGCGCTAAGGCCGCCCGTTGCCTTATAACTTATATAACCTGCTTTTTTAGTACATTCCATTAAATACAAACAGCGTTCTAAATTCTTCACCATTAGCCGCCCTTTTATTATTGAAAAAGAATGTTCCTGTATGCAATCATGAGTTTACATTTAGCCGCATTAGCTGCAATGATATTATAAAAACATTTAAACAGCTAAAAATAATAAAAAAAACTAAAGATCTTTGGGGTGTTTCTGTATTCATTTTACAATTAGTGATCAATAATATTAGTTTAGAGTTAGCTATAATATTTAATGAATGTATAATTGTATAGATTGTGGAGTCTTTCTAGACCTTATGAAGCTAAGTAAAATCACACACGTTGTGTGTCACATACTATAAAAAATACGGAATTAGGAGGATTCTGAAAACCTATATGAATGAATGTCGGATAGGCGCCTGTGCCTGACACATGCCGTCGTGTTGGGTAGGCAAGCCGGTTTCCTCACGATGTTTTCCTTCACCGTTCGAGCGTATGTTAAATGCTCACATAGAAAGGAAGTCCACAACCGGGGTTCGAACCTACGACCTCAGGGATGAGAGTCACACGCTGTAGCCGCTAGGACAACACGACATAGCAATTCAAACCGTAGTACAAATTGAATCTTCACATTTTATAACATTAGTACTTACAGGTTTTATATAATATTTATATAATTGATTATATATAATGTAAAAACAGTCAACGAAGTATTACATAAAATAAAATGAATTGATGATTATAATTATATAACTGATGCTGTCATTAGCTTATTACATATAAGATCAAACGTGTGTTCTATTTGTTTCATTTGTTAGAATGTTCACGTTTGAGATGGTTCTATAATATTCTTATTTGTGATTTTAATAATGCAATGGTTGGTTTTGATCATATTTAAATTATTAAATGAATTATATATTTTTACCGACTTTATAAGTGTTCATATTTTCATTTGATTCTTAATTGTAATTTGCGTTTATACATATTGCCAAAAGGCTTGCAAGTGCATTGCCGGCCTTTTAAACCATTATCTGTACCAGTGTAGTTTATATAATTATATTTAATGGAAGCCTGTAAGAAATCACTTATTAGGGATAAAATTATTTTTTCCATCCCTTAGTTTTTTGACACTATTTTTATACATTGTTTTGGAATTGTTCTAGTATTCAAAGTGGCCCGGGAACTACGGGTATTGCCCCGCAAGTATTCAACGCCGCGATTAATTTCTTCGCCGCTACACAATGTCTTTCACATGACAACTTTGTATCTGATGAAATTAAAGGTAAGAACACACAAACTTATTTCCAAATAATGACTTGACTCGGTGGTTTACTAAACGTATTTTGTACATGTACCTGAATGTTCTTAGAATCCTTAAATTCTTACTGAAAACATAAAAGAACTGTTCTTATGTAAAAATAATTATAATTTATTATAACAGGTTACATAAACATAATAATAACAAATGTTAGTGATGTATAGGATATTTTATATATTTTTTTTTATAATACTGATTAAACCGATCATAAATATAACGGATTCTAAATGGTAAATTGAGAATTTTATGAAATAGAAATTTTGCGGCTTAGACGTCCTAAAGACAGTCATCATAAATAATAGATATGATTTCATTTTTCAGATGGTGACACGTTTGACTTTATTATTGTTGGAGGTGGTTCTGGAGGTAGCGTAGTTACCAATCGCTTGTCTGAGGAAAAACAATGGAATATTCTACTTCTTGAAGCTGGACCAGACCCACCATTAGAATCATATGTAAAGTTATTTATTTAATTTTATTATTAATTGGTATCTTAATAGGAATCATTGAATCATATTTCTTTTTTAGGTACCAAACTTTGATACTGAACTATATGGAAGTGATTTTGATTGGAATTATCTAACCAAAACTGATAATAGAACAGGACTAGGAAGTAAGGATGGAAGAATTTCCTGGCCACGAGGAAAAATGCTTGGTGGGTGTAGCTCTAACAATGAAATGGTCTACATACGCGGACGAGCACCTGATTACCAACATTGGGTAGATGCCGGTAACCCAAGTTGGACACCACAAAATGTATTCCATTATTTTAATAAAGCAGAAAATTTACAGTCCAAAAAATTACTCGAGAACCCATATATAAGTGGTTTATATGGTCATCATGGCCCTTTGATAGTTGATAACTACAATAGCACATACAGGGAAGATACAGAACGAATTCTGGATTCTTGGAAACATATCGGATTTGATATAGTTGAGGATATAAATTCTGAATACACTCTTGGATTAGGTTCATGCGGTATCTATCCTGTCACGGTATCGAGTGGAAGAAGACAAAGCACATATGAAGCATATATTAAACCTGCAAGGAGAAGAGAAAATTTGAAAATTGTGACTAGAGCGTATGTTACTAAAGTTATAGTAGATGACAATTTAGAAGCTAAAGGGGTTGAGGTTGATATTAAAGGCAAAAAAATTACAGTATTTGCAAGTAAAGAAGTGATTGTAAGTTCTGGTGCTATAAACACACCAAAATTACTCATGTTGTCGGGTATAGGGCCAAAAATGCATTTGGAATCCGTGGGAATACCATGCAAGGTGAACTTACCCGTTGGTGAACGTTTACAAGATCATTACATGATTCCAACATTAATCTACGGCGATGAACCTGAATCTCGAAGTACAGTAGATTTACATTTCGATGAACTAAAGTATCTTTATGATGGGTCTGGATATTTAGGACAAGCCAGTTTCTCTGATATAACCGCTTTTTTTTCTAGATACCCCAATGCTTCGTATCCGGAATTTCAAAGCCATTTCGTATTGATACCTAAAAACTCAACCTCTGGATTGCAACGATTTGCTTCACTTAAAACGCCGATCTTAGCGTCTTTTTTAGAATTTGGCGCACGTAAAGCACTGTATGTGTTCGCCTTGCATTTATTACATCCATTTTCAAAGGGATCTGTTTATTTGAATTCAAGTGATCCTTATGAAGATCCAATTATTGAGGCCAACTATTTGGATGATCCACGAGATATTAAAGCCACTATTGACGGCCTAAAAATACTTACTAGTATTGTAGACACACCGTATTTCAGATCGATAAACGCATTTATTTTCAAAGTAAATCTACCTGAATGTGATCAGTATGAATTTAAAAGCAATGAATACTGGTGGTGTTATGCAAAATATTTAATGATGACCTTATATCACCCGGTTGGAACAGCGAAAATGGGTCCAAGTGCAGAAGATTCTGTCGTAGACAACTATCTGAGGGTGCATGGTGTACGTGGTTTAAGAGTAATAGATGCCAGCGTCATGCCTAATCTTACGAGTGGCAACACTAATGGTCCGACCATCATGATCGGTGAAATGGGCGCGGATATGATAAAATCGGCCTATTTTAAAATTAAATAAGTCTTGTCGTGAAATACTGATTAAACATGTTGTCATTACATTTGACTATAATTTTACAAATTGAAAGTGATACAATTAAATCATGTCAAATGACAAGAAAAGGTTTCTATTAAAATCCAAGCAATTAACCTTTACATATGTAATACACTTATATAAATGATAACTACCTACTCTAATTAACTAAAGCACGTGTCGTGACGTCAGCACTTATATAAGTGCTGACGCTAACTTTATTTCTCACACATAATGAAATAGAACATATTTTAAAACATTGTGTATTATTTAACTGCACGGTTCGCTGTATGCACATTGTATTTCGTTAAAATACTTTTTAATTAAAGAAACTTATAGTTCCAGTCAGCAGATTAAATTCTAATCTTTTACCAAAACCTCAGTAAAACCTGTGTTTTACTGCAACCCAAAATGTGCATTGGCCTCCGTTAGGAGAAACCTAGACCGCTCCCTGTCCTGTGCCACTTCCCACTCTGTCTAGCCCGATGGCCTTGTGTGTGCAGTTTTAATAAAGTACTAAGTGAATGTGAATGAAACACCGAGTGAATTCCAACAAAAGTGATTATTTTGACACATCCTGAATTACTGAGTAAACTAGAAAAACATATGCAACACATTCTATGAATCATTTTTAAAATACCCTCATATTGAATATAGAAATATCCAAATACGTCCGTCAACGTCATTGTTAAATTTGATTTTCGGCAAATATTATTTTTTAGTAGGTTGAAGAAAAAAGAAATCGCTTAAAATTAGCAGCATTTAATAATTGTATTCTTGTATGTAAAGAAGTGTAAATAGCATTTTAATCATTCTAAACAAATTGCGAGACGTAATTAAAGCTTTATATCAATACCAAGATTCAACTAACAGCTAAAGTGGATTTAAACTCAAGATAAAGTTTAAGCCTGACCGCAGCAATCGCGCACATAATAGTAAAAGTTCCTCGTTACAGCTTAGTTCCTGATTTAACGTCAAGGTACCCCTGAGATACGGGTAACTTAGAAGTGCCCAATTTAAGGCTAGATTACGGAGTTTCGTCGGGCACACCATGTTTCTATATCACACTGTTGATTCAATAATACTGACGGTCTTATCTTATTATCTATAATGTTTAATTTCTCTCTGTGTGTAAATTTTCTCATTAATTTTACTATGAATAATTTTTCGTGCTGATCGCGAAAAGACAAGGTACGAGGAATTCGTTTGTCTGTTCTGTGTCCGTGAGATTTTCTACTGAACCATCTTCATGCGGTTGCACCTGGCCATCCCTCAAGTTGCGTGAGGGTGCTGCGTCTAGGCACACTAGTCGTATGTAACCCCCATGACCGAGTCAATCGTCGTTCTCGCAGTACGACTTGACCTGGCGCTTTCACCTCTCGAGGAAGATCTGCGCCATCACACCTGTGGCCTGGTCTTTGCAGTCTCCACTTCGTTTCTTTATTAAACTGCCTAGGAATAATGTATTAGGGCTACAACTCGTTTGGTTTTTCTAATTTGTTGTTTAAATATTATATTATAAAAAAAAATAAAAAAAAAAATATGTTTATTATGGAACATAAGATATATGTATCACTTATTCCACGTCATTAAATTTGAAGGCATCCCTACTCATCGGCAAAGAAGACAGAGGGTGTAGGCCGAGAGAAAAAGCCGGCGTAAAAAACTCTCGGTACTCTTTTAAAACAGCAAATCATCAAACAACACTTATTTAAAACAAATATCGCAAATTAATTAGAAGTAGCCTGTCTAGCACTAGTCCCAGGCCCTTTTATCAACTAGATAATCGTTGACTTTATAGTAAGCCTTTTTACACAGCTTTTCTTTAATACATTTCTTAAATTTATTGAAAGGCAGTGATAAAAGAGCCTCTGGGATTTTATTAAAGAAGAGTATCCCTTTCCCCAAAAAAGAATTACTAACTTTAGATAGTCTAGTACGGGGAAATTGCAGCCTGCGTTTGTTCCGTGTATTAACATTGTGCGTATGTTCTATTCTAGTAAACTTATCACTATTTTTGTATACATACATAATATTTTCATAAATATATTGCGAGGGAAAGGTAAGTATATTAATTTCCTTGAATTTATCTCTAAGAGATTCCCTACATTTTAAATTATAGATTGTACGAATAGCCCTCTTCTGCAGGATGAAAATAGTTTCGACATCAGCAGCATGACCCTATAATAATAAGCCATAAGTCATTAAGCTATGAAAGTAACTAAAATAAACAAGTCTAGCTGTATCGACATCAGTTAGTGAGCGAATTTTTTTAACCGCGTAGGCTGCAGAACTAAGTCTCTTCGCCAATCCGTTAATATGAGGGGACCACTGAAGTTTTGAATCCATGGTGATTCCGAGAAATACAGTTGTATCATCCAGATTCAATTCCTCACCGTTTATAATTGGTCTAGTATCCATAACCCTTGCATTTTTTGCACAAAATTTAATGCATTTTGTCTTTTTTGCATTAAGTAGAAGGTTATTCATACTAAACCAATGGACAATCGAAGACAGAGCATTGTTCACATCGTCAAAATTTGTTATTTGTCGTTTGATTTTAAAAATCAAGGACGTGTCATCAGCAAACAAAACTATCTGATGTTTTCTCTCTACCATGAAAGGTAGATCATTTATATAAACAAGAAAGAGGAAAGGGCCAAGAATTGAGCCCTGTGGTACCCCCATATCTACTGCCGACTCAGAGGACCTCTTACCATTCACTTCAACCTTCTGAGTTCTTCCGTGTAAATAGGAAGTCAGAAGATTCAGTGCGGTATTCTTGATGCCATAGTGGCGGAGTTTCCCGATTAAGGTCTCGTGTTGGACACAATCAAATGCTTTGGATAAGTCGCAGAAAACACCTAAAGCGTCATGCGACTCCTCCCAAGCCTTAACTATATATCTATATAACTCAACACCGGCATCGGCTGTCGAGCGACCCTTGGTAAAACCGAACTGATTATTATGTAATAATTTGTTTACGTTAAAATGACTTACCAGTTGATTTAATATAATTTTTTCAAATATTTTACTGCAAGTAGGTAGTACGGAAATTGGTCTAAAGTTACTGGGGTCGGACATACTATTTATTTTTTTATATATTGCAGACTGCATGTTCGAATTTATTATAAATTATTGTTATTCGTTCGTAGCAATAATATCACTATTCACATTTCACATATAAAAAGTTTATACACTGGTTTAAGTTACATATCATCGGAATACAGTTTTCAAAGGATATTTTTCTATACACCACGCAAACACGAATACAGAATAGAATTTTTTATATGTGAATAAAGTATTAATGTATGAGAAAAATAAAAACCGACACATCTACAATAAAAATATTATATTATTGAAAATTTGAAAATACTTGTTTTATTTTTATTAACCCTCTTGTTGTGAATTCATATTATAATTCTTGGAGCTGTGTGCTTATGTCTGCGCTTGAAAGGCGCCCTGTGGAAGGTAGGTAAAATAGGAAGGAAGTAAGATCGAACAATTATCACGAAACAGATTGAGGCCCAGACCTAAAAGGTTGTGCTACTGGTCGTTCATTAAAACTCTTAGAGACAGAAAGAAACTGCAATGTCCCTGACCACTGATTGCAATTTTTCACATAAAAAAACTCTTAGAGAAATCACAAAACATTAAAAAAAATCAGCAATTTCCCTGTCCATCGTTTGCAATTAGGCATAAAAAAATCATTCAACGCAGAGTTAACCTGATGGTTTAAATTTCTTTCTGTGAAATTGTGTTGACCCTGGAAAGAGGGTGTTGAAGTCCAAAATGTAACTGGACAGATTTACATGACATTTGCTATTGTACAGGCTTTTCTGATCAGGTATTTAAACATCTACTGAAATCAGTGAACTGGGTCATTAACCGCACGATGCGCCAACTCAGTCTGATTTTACAAATAAACACTACGTGTGATGTTCAGATTCGAGATTTAGCGGTAAATCGAATCTCGAATATCAAATCCATATTGGATTATTGAAACTGTATAACAAATACGACAGTTTTAGTTCGCACTAAGGGTCGATTCGACCAAACTTCAATTTATACACGAGTAACTATACCAGGAATAATCTATTCCATGATTTTAATCTCGAGTAAATCCATAGTCGTTTCTCCACGTAATCGATAGTATAATTGCGCTAGGAATAACAATACGCGAATAGCAAAGAGAATGGTGAACGAAAATAAAACTCGCCAAATAAATGTTGTTCTACAACGGGACAGTGTAAGGGCATACATCATGTCAACTCGATTTTGCCGTATTATAGTGTGAAAAAGTAGCTTTTAACAGGTGTCAAACGACAACAAAAAGTTTTTATTTGTTGTTTGTTTGAGGCTTTCGTCTAAAAAGTAACTTCTGTTGAGCCTAGTTGAATTTCATTCTAATATTATATAAAATAAAAAATCTAAAAATAAATAAATGAATAATAAATTGTTTAAACGTTTCATTATACAATGCCAGACTATTAATTTAGTGCGTTGCGTTGACTTGAAATTAAAATACAGAATACATATTTGTGAAATGACAGAAATCAGATGATTGGACTGACTGACGCCATTAAATTATTCTAGGAATAGCTGTTATTCCGTGCGAAACGGCGGTATAGTAGCAATTCCCGAATAGGCCCACTATTCTTAGAATTTGTAGATGGTAAAACGTAAAATTTATTTACTCTCGATTAACTGACGATTTAATTTAAGATTAAGATTTACTCTTGTTTGGTCGAATCGACCCTAAGTCACCTCTGAATTTTATTTCGATTAGGGTCGTACCTACAGTAACAAATACCTTACTATTTTGGACACTATTCACGCAGATTCAAACTGAGGACAAGCCCCGCGTGCAATTGTCATAAAAGAACCTACCAAACGGTGGTTCATTTACTTGTTAACTGGCTGACTTTCGAAAGAGCCAGGTGCGATCTGGAGCTCAAGTTTAGCATGAGGGTATCCCAGACTGGGCT